GTTGGGGTTTGGGTGGTGAAGTGGAAGGAGGAAAGGGGAGGGAAGTGGTGTCTAGGGCTCTATTTCACTTTCTTAGAGGAACACTAATGAAGAGAATTTAATATAGTTAGGCCGTGACTGGCCTTACACTCTAGTACAGTAGGTGGCGGTGTATGCACCATGAAAGTTGGATGCGATCAGCTAACCCAATCCCAAAGAAGAAGAAGCCATTTTGAGAAGCCATTTTACATGTTAGCATCCTGTGGTGCCATGTGCCAGAATTGTTTGTTGAATGAATGTGTCTTCTTGAAGGTAGGCCTATAATTCTACCACAGGTATACAGTGCATTCGGAAAGTATTCAGACCTCTTGACTTTTTCCACATTTTGTTACGTTACATCCTTATTCTAAAATTGATTAAATCGTTTTTTTTCCTCATCAATCTACACACAATACCCCATAATGACAAAGCAAAAACTGGTTTGGACATTTTTGCAAATATATTAATAACTGAAATATCACATTTACAGTCATGGTCAAAAGTTCTGAGAATGACACAAGTATTGGTCTTCACAAAGTTTGCTGCTTCAGTGTTATGAAATATTTTTGTCAGATGTTACTATGGTATACTGAAGTATAATTACAAGCATTCCATAAGTGTCAAAGGCTTTTATTGACAATTACATTAAGTTTATGCAAAGAGTCAATATTTGCAGTGTTGACCCTTCTTTTTCAAGACCTCTGCAATCCGCCCTGGCATGCTGTCAATTAACTTCTGGCCCACATCCTGACTGATGGCAGCCCATTCTTGCATTATCAATGCTTGGAGTTTGTCAGAATTTGTGGGTTTTTGTTTGTCCACCCGCCTCTTGAGGATTGACCACAAGTTCTCAATGGGATTAAGGTCTGGACCCAAAATGTAGATGTTTTGTTCCCCGAGCCACTTAGTTATCACTTTTGCCTTATGGCAAGGTGCTCCATCGTGCTGGAAAAGGCATTGGTTGTCACCAAACTGTTCTTGGATGGTTGGGAGAAGTCTCGGAGGATGTGTTAGTACCATTCTTTATTCATGGCTGTGTTCTTAGGCAAAATTGTGAGCCCACTTCATCTTTCCCTAGATCCTGACTAGTCTCCCGGTCCCTGCCGCTGAAAAACATCCCCACAGCATGATGCTGCCACCACCATGCTTCACTGTAGGGATGGTGCCAGGTTTCCTCCAGACGTGACGCTTGACATTCAGGTCAAAGAGTTCAATCTTGGTTTTATCAGACCAGAGAATCTTGTTTCTCATGGTCTGTGAGTCCTTTAGGTGCCTTTTGGAAAACTCCAAGCGGGCTGTCATGTGCCTTCTACTGAGGAGTGGCTTCTGTCTGGCCACTCTACCATAAGGGCCTGATTGGTGGAGTGCTGCAGATATGATTGTCCTTCTGGAAGGTTCTCCCATCTCCACAGAGAAACTCTGAAGCTCTGTCAGAGTGACCATCGGGTTCTTGGTCATCTCCCTGACCAAGGCCCTTCTCCCTCGATTGCTCAGTTTGGCCGGGCGGCCAGCTCTAGGAAGAGTCTTGGTGGTTCCAAACTTCTTCCATTTAAGAATGATGGAAGCCAATGTGTTCTTGGGGCCCTTCAATGCTGCAGAAATGTTTTGGTACCCTTCCCCAGATCTGTGCCTTGACACAATCCTGTCTCGGAGCTCTATGGACAATTCCTTCAACCTCATGGCTTGGTTTTTGCTCTGACATGCACTGTCAACTGTGGGACCTTATATAGACAGGTGTGTGCCTTTCCAAATCATGTCCAATCAATTGAATGTACCACAGGTGGACTCCAATCAAGTTGTAGAAACAGCTCAAGGATGATCAATGGAAACAGGATACACCTGAGCTCAATTTTGAGTCTCATAGCAAAAGGTCTGAATAGTTATGTGTTTTTTTATTTTTAAGAAATTTGCTAACATTTCTAAAAACCTGTTTTTGCGTTGTCATTATGGGGTATTGTGTGTAGATTGATGAGGGATATAAAAAAAAAAAAAATGTTTTTAGAATAAGGCTGTACCGTAACAAAATGTGGAAAAAGGGATGGGGTCTCAATACTTTCCGAATGCACTGTATATATAAGGGTAAAGTACATTTATTATATGAATTTGTCCTTCCCTAGGTGTTAAAATCACAAGCCATATATTGGGACTGGTATATCTGTAAAGAATACTTATTGTCTAAGTGTACTTTCTAAAAAATTTAAATTAAAATTTGCAAGCTTGAATTTTGTCAATGATCAAATGTATTCATGTTTTTTTGTCATGTCATTCTTCTCTTTAGAAGTGAAATGCCAGCCCATTCTTTGCTCTTTGTTTTTAGTACTGAAACAATGTTGTCATGTAAAAAGATTTCCCTGATCAAATATTAGCAGTTTCCCATTGTTCATCAGTGTTACATACATTTGGTAGGCCTGTGTTGGGAACCTTATGTCCTAGCATTTTGGAGCTCCCCTTTTCTCCAGTGTAAACCAAGGGGTGGCATAGTAGCTACTGTCTTATGACACAACAAATATTTGATCCCAAACAAAATCTATTCCATCGATTTTCATGACATCTCAATTCATCCTAATGCTGTAGACTTTAAAAATCAGTTTGAGACCAAACATCTACTCACAATTGTTCTTTTCCCTGATGCAGGTGGACCTAACAACATTACTCTGGGTACTGCAAAAATAAAACAAACATGTATTACGACCACAATTTAGTTTTTCAGTTAACATTATTCAATGAAAAGACATGTGGGATGTGAACGCCATGCGCCTCATAGGCTGCGTTTACACAGGTAACCCAATTCTGATAGTTTTTTCCCACCAATTTGGAATTTTGACCAATCGGATCAGCTCTGAAAAAGAGCTGACGTGAAAAGGTCTGATTTGATTGGTCAAAAGACCAATTAGTGGGAAAAATATCAGAATTGGGCTGCCTATGTAAACACAGCCAGTGGCTGAAACTTCTCCTATAGTGCCACCTAGTGGTAGAGTAACAACACTACACAAATTAAGTTGTATGCATTACGGAAACCTTTTAAGAACCAAACGGAAGCAAACGGGTAGGGACCTACCTGAATTTGCCCAATAGAAACTCTAGTTTGTGTTTTCCATTTGGAGTAAACGGTTTGTTGCAAAACGTTTTGCAACAGAATCAGTGTAATATTTACACCCAGGTTTGAGCAAGACAGAGCCATAGGGACCATTTGACACAGTTTTTAAAGTAAATGTATATGAAGCAGAAAATGCTTAGTCACAAACTAGGCATACAATCATGAAATACCTACTGTATGTGGACCAGAAAGCACTTACCCTCAACACTGCCCCTTTTGAGAAGACCGACTAGATACTGGATGGGATCCTCTGGCTTATCAACCATAAGATTCATCACCAATGTCTAAAACAAAAAAATCACACTCTACCATTAGAGCATGTTTATTTTTATATTTATTAAAATGTAAACAAGCAACGAAAGGGCTGAAAGTAGTAGTGTTCATCACCAGCTCTGTTGAAAAGGGGTAAGATGACAGATCAGTCAGGGAGTTGAAGCAATGTGCCCTTGAGCAAGGCACTTAACCCTAATTGCTCCTGTAAGTCGCTCTGGATAAGAGCGTCTGCTAAATGACTAAAATGTAAATGTAAATGTAAGCAAAAGGAGAGCAGAGGTAGCCTGGGTTCTGACTAGAGGGAGTACAGCTACAACCAGAAGTGACTTTTTCATAGCAGGTTAGGATACTTGGGTTAAGGGTAGGAAAAAGGTTTGGGTTAGCTAAAATGCTCAACTAACCTGCTACATAAAGTCACTTCCGGCTGTAGCTGTACTCCCTCTTGTCAAACCGGTAGCCGGGTTACAGATCTGTTCTGTGTATGACAGGATATGATAGCACAAACAGATCTGAGACCAGACTAGAGAGGTGGTGGTAACTAGCAGGAATCTTTTGCAATGTTATTGTCAAATGAAATAGTAAATAGGTTTACCTGTACTAAATCAAATATTTCATGCTTCTCTGCATAAATAGCCATTTCAGGTGGAATTCTTAGGGGTTTTGCCGTTTCATCCATTGCAATAAGGTGATTTGCAGTCTGTTTGATGGGGAAAAGGTGGGATATTTTGTAACAAGAAATATAAAATGAATACCAAACAACTTTGCCATGTAATTGCACAATGAAATGGTTTAATGTCTGGATGTCAAACAGTTATTCCATTGAATGTGAGAGGAGAGCTGTATTTTGGCCTTCCTGCTATTTTATCCGTTTTTTCAGGGACCCCCTGAAAAGCACTCTGAGGCCCCGGTTGGTCCTACTTCTAGGCCCTCTGGTTGAGAGATTGACTTATCAAGTTAGCCAAAGTAAACAAGCTGCGTGTTTTTTGCTCTTTGCTAACCAAAATGCTAGCTAACGTTGCTAGCTAACGTTAGCTAACTAGCAAATTCTGACTATTAATAAACATGGCGTTTCATTTGGGTATTTGCCAACACTCATGAACTTGTACACTTATTGTACAATACCTAATGAAATGTGACTAAGTATATAGCTTAGTTTGCGCCTGGCTTTTGGAAAACTAGAATATTTTCTTACCTGCTTATCATATGAATCCAAGTCGCTTGCCAATACGAATTCGCACGTTGCTAAGGAAAACGTTATTGGTGTCATGTTGCCCAGCAACGTCAGAACCTTCGTTGATTGTTGGTTCGACAGAACTCCCCAAGACTACATTCTGAGACCACAGCGCTTCGTTGTCAAACCTGAACTATCATTTAGCAAAATTCTGGGCTAACTAACTTTTTATCCATGGAAAAATTATTGATACTGCAAGACTGACTCGCACATAGACCAGCAGGTAAATTGTATTTATTGGGACCTGTCCAGATTAGTCTCGGAAACCCAGATCCTACGTTGGTACAAGGCAACCGTCTGTCTAGAGACTTTGTCCAGAGCAGCAGAGTATAAGTATTGTGCTGCAGCTCCATATAGTGTGCACAACTGGCAAGGGTCACAATGAGTGAGGCAAGGGAGAGGTTGAAGGCCATTGAACACATGCATAAGCTCTTCAAACAACAGCAGTTCATTTTCATAGCAGCCCTAGAGAGGTCACGGGAGCATGCTCATGATAGGACAGAACCAGTGGCATCAGTCATGCAGGTGAGACCATCTCAGCAGTTATTCTCACAATTCCTTTTTTAAAATTAAATAATGAACCTATCCCTTATTGCACAGGTTCAAGGGTACATGGAGCACCACTGCAGTAATGCCACAGATCGGCGCATTTTCACCCTCTTCTTGAAAATTGTGGGGGAGCTGAGGGATTTTCTGAGGCTCCTGGAGGGCGCAAACCAAAGCCCTGGAGGTGGCATCCTAGACACTTACAGGTTGCTTCTCAGCTACAACTGCAACATCAGCAAACTGCAGGCCCAGTTGAGTGATAGCTGGTTTGTCAATGAGTTGTAATGTACATCAAGGACTGCGTTTGACAATAGATATGGTAAATGTTGCAGAATATTAGTTGCATTTTTAAACTAGAGTTGCGAGGGTCATCCACTGTTAGACTATTTTGCCTGTGTTTTCTAACCCAGGTCCTTTCTTTGTCTGCAGTTACCCACATGATGAAGTGAATCGACTGAGCTGTGACGAGGCCAGGAACTACTACAGTGGTGTGGTAAGCCTTATCCCACTAGCACTGGAGCTACTGCAAAGGATGGCCAGTTCCTACACCTACTGCAGCCAGGACAACACGTCTGCTGGGAATCCTAATGTTGATGTCCTTGAGTCCTCAGCACAGCGAGGTGGGACGGCTGGTGTGGGAGACATGTCTTTCAGCCTGACTGGGCACGCTGCTGGTGGTCATAACACTAGGCAGACCCAGGCTAAGAGAGCAGGCGCGTGGCATGCAAGCAAACCAGCCTGGAGACCTCCGGGCCTCACCGCCAGGATTAGGCATTAGGCCTTTGACCATTTCCTCTATTTTACATAAATCAGCATTGTAAGAAAGTTAGTTTCTCTTGGTTTGACTTGTGATTAACTATTACTCAGAACTTGGCAACCATATTACACAAATGTTTGATACAACAGACTGCAACTGGAAAAATAGTCTTCAACACCATTTGGGTTTTGAGACATAAGTGATTTCTATCAAAACAATGCAGTGGCTTTTCTAAACCCCACTGACACTGTAGAATTAGACAAAGATGGTACATTTTAGTCATTTAGCAGACGCTCTTATCCAGAGCGACTTACAGGAGCAATTTGGGTTAAGTGCCTTGCTCAAGGGCACATCGACAGATTTTTCACCTAGTCTGCTCGGGGATTAGAACCAGCGACCTTTAGGTTACTGGCACAACGCTCTTACCCACTAAGCTACCTGCCGCCCATAACTATAATCTCGGCACCCAGAACCAAATCTTGGTACATTACCATGTAACAATGTTTGTGTGCTTTGGCAAAATGAAAAGAACAAGCGACAATGCAAAATATTTTTATTGATTTATATTGTTCAGTTAACAATTTCTTTTTTTTTATCAGAACATTTGTAATGAGAACTGTCTTAACATACTGTCAGATTCACCGTACAATAGTTTCCTTATTCCGATGGTGTTTAACATTGATTTACATGCTTGATAACAAAAGATGTGGGGAAAAAAGGAACACTTGAATGGACACCAGGATCTTGGACAGAGACCATGCTTTGAGGATAACAGCTGGAGATGGGTAATACTGATTTCATTGGATATGCAACTTAACTGACTAGCTTGCAAGCCCTTAACCTGAGTAGGGGATGGAAAAATGATGGAAAAAGAATGATCGTCATCCTAGACGATTGACAATGATATGGCAACAGAAACCAATTCACAATAGGTCCATGTTTAGAACTCCAATATGACCCCTGATTCACTTTAAAGGCATTGGGTGAGGAAGGACCTCTATGAAGAGGGATATTTACCTGGCATAGTTTCAATGCCAAGACATCAAGAGTGCCATCAGAGTCCCACTACAGAAGTTCTGGCAGTTGTGTGCAGCCATCAAGGCACTGAATATCCAAAAGAACACAGTCCTCTCAGGCCTCTAGCCTAGACAAAATAATGCAGTGATCCACATCAACTTGATCAATAAACCCCCAAAAAGCAAGATGGATGCAAAGTGGCACACAGAACAAGAGAATGTATAAGAATTAACTAGCTCTGGTCCAGGGTGTTACTGCAGGAACACATACTAACAACCTAGACCTGAGCTAGAGATTTAGCTTGAACCTAGGCAAGATGCATTATTGCTGTAAAACTTCATTGGATGGTGGGATCATGCCCATTTTATCAACAAGACAAAATAAAATATAGTTACTTGATCCTTTTTAAGCTTCTCTTTACCTGGTTGTATCATTTCTTCAATGATATCAACTGATTATTGCAATAACTGAAGTACCTATTTGTAGAACTATATATGTTAAACAAGAAGCACTCAGTGTTTTGGGGAGGGAAATGTGATGGAACAACTCAGGAAGTGTTCTGAAAAGCTGAGGCTGTGAGGCCTTTGACCAAGCAGCAAAAAAACAACATGAATCCATTGGCCTGAAGTGTCATTTGAGAAAAGTATTGCACTTGTGAGTAGGACCCTCCGAACCCGACAGAAACGTTCAGGCCATTCTAGATTGGGGTGTGCCGAAACCATAAATAAATAGCTTATTAAAACATCTAACATAAAAGATTCTTGCTCGTTTTACCTCACACAAAGCTCACACAGACCGATGTAGCCTCAAGATATAGATTTACACACCCAACAGACCAATTCCGTGTGATAGGACTTGCCATTAGGAATCCATGTTAGGTTCACTGTTGAATACTTTTTGTTCACTCTTGCTCACCCTAATGGAATACATTCAAAAGCTAATTAGAAGGGCAAAGTTGAATAACATTAATTTGCTCATTGTCCCTTGCTTAGGGATTATTTTTGTAATTTTTTTTATTCTTGTTTTTACAATAGAGCTTTTGTAAGAACCTAAACGCTGCCAACCACAGGGAAAATAACACTGCATTTAGAGATATTTCCTTACGTGTGTTGTTACAGTGGCAGCTCATCAGCAGCTGTTGCCCCGCCCCTCCCTCTCTCGTCGTCAGATGTGCTCATGCTGTGTTTCATTGTAGTCCATGATCCGCAGGTCCTTCCTCCTCTGGCGGGCGGCAGCGGCAGCGCTGGCCCTAGGCCTTGCCCCCTGCCCGTGGTGGGCCCTAAGCTGCTGGCTGTCTGACGGGGGTGGCTCCTGGGCCAGAGCAGACTGAGCAGAGCCCTGTGATGGAGGAGCAGCAGCAGGATGGGAATGAGGGGGGGTGCCTGTGGCGGGAGGAGGAAATGGGCTGGACTGGACGTTCTCTGTCGACTCGCTGCTCTCCTCACTGGCGACCAGGCCCTGAGAGAGACTACTGAGCTGGGTGCCTTCATCCCCGTCACACTGGCTCTCGCTTTTGTTGCGGAACAGCTCTCGGGTGTGCATGCCTAGGAAGCTCTTGGCACTGGGGTAGGAGCCCACAGTTAAGGGGGTGTCAACCGGGGAGAAGGAAAGTGGAGAGGCGGCCAGGTGGGTCGGGGACATCTCTGACAGGAGAGGGGGCTGTTGCAGACTGCCGTTGAGGGTCACCGTGGTGGTGGACTGAGCGCCACCCCCGGGGGGTAAAGTGCTTCCGTTGCCAGGCGGCCACGCTTGGGTGCCTCGGTCAGCGCTGCCCTGAGCAGTTGGCACAGTTCTGCTACTGCTGCCATTTGGCCTAGCAAACACACAGAGACACACTATTGTTCATCTTTTTACATTGGTCTTCAGCTTCACTAGATGAATCAACACATTCTGTTCAAGAGCTGTATCTCTCTGGGATTAGTCCATAGTCCCTACTTTTAATTTATGTACAGGCTAATATCCTCTCCGTTATCCTGACTAGGAATGTGACAAATTGACAATTTTGCTAAACGTTTAAACAGCCATGTATCGGTTTTCTGTTAAAACAATAAGAAAAATAAAATAGACGTCAACTTACAATGCAGAATAATGGTCCTATTACTTATGTATATCCACTATGGCCAGGCAATTAAGTTACATCTACCGCAGTCATATAAACCTTGAAAGCACCACGGCTACGGCATGTTTGTTTGTCCAAGGGTACACTACAGCTTTTTAAATGCCGAAACAAAACCTTCTCTGGAGATAAGTTTCGAAGCACCACTTAACGGGCATTTTACTTGTCAGTAAAGGAATGCCGCTTCTGAAGCAGGGACTAACGTCCATCACATAATCTTAAACCGCCTGCTGCAGGCCATGCTCTCCTAAAAAAGAAAGCCATTTTGTAGAAAGAAAACATCTTCCGCTAGGAATCGACTCCTAAGATTCAGTATTTTTGGCACGGAGGAGACTGATTAGTTGGCGTACTTCTGAGAACACAAACACTTGCATCTTTCATAGCGAGCTAGTGAGGGACGGAGAGAGGGGCATCGCAATTTCTTGGCTTGCAATGGCTCGCAACTTCAGTAAAGCAGGGCCTATCATCAAGAAATAGGCTGGAATATTCTACACGCAGCAGACCGAAGATTGAACACACACTCGCATCATTAGCTAAGAGAAAGAGCAGGCGAGCCAGCTGCACTGTGATATCAATTCTTCTTAATATTAAGGATCCCAATTTAGTTTAACGCGTTCACACCCCTAATCCTGACTGCGTTGGTTTCAATAGTACTGTATTTCTGGAGTGTAGTAATGATGAGATGGCTCAAATAAATTCAAATTGCACTGCACTGGGTATAGCCCAGCTAAAAGAACATCTCCTGCTAGTAGCACTCAGCATGGTTATATAATTTAACTTTGTCCCAGAGAGAGGACATTTATTGTACAAAAAAAACCACCAGCAGCATTTTGTCTATATTGCGTAACTACACTTTGAAGTCCCTTGGGTGTTATCTCCACACTGTGGGAGCTGGAGCCATCCCTCACACTGTGAGAAAGGGATCAAAGGAGGTGCTGGGTCTCACCTGGATGTGCCGGGAGGAGGAGCGCTGGAGGGCTCGATGGCGTCAGACTCTGAGAGACTCTGGTTGGTGGTCAGCATCTCGGCATCCAGCTGGCTGTAGAGCTGCAGCATCTCCGTCTGCAGCACCTGGGTGACCCGTCGCAGGGCCAGGTACCTGCTCTCCGACGCCTGCAGCTGGCCCCTGGGGTGACACACAGACAGACACACACACCTTTAAAATGTAAAAGTTCACAGGGGTGAAAGACTACACGATACAGTCCATCCATTGTGGAATGATTGAATAATAAGAGTTGAGTACAGGAACCAAGCACGTAGCTGATGTCGGTTGAATCCAGCCTCCCCACCATTTCCTACCTGTTCTCCCCTCTCAAATCTAGCCCCCACTCTAAATTCAATCTCTGAAAAATAATTAATACATAATGTGGAGTGGAGTTGGGCCCTTACTTGGTCTGGCCTTTGACTTCCTCCAGGAACTTCTTCTGCTCCAGAATGAGGTGGTCCTTCTTCGCCAGCTGGGCCTCCAGGTCTCCGATGCGCTGCTGGGCCGCCTCCAATCCCTGTCTCTGCTGCACCATGCTCTGACGCAGACGCTCCTGCTCCTTGCCCATGGTTGACTGCAGCATCCGCAGCTCCTGCAGCAACGCACGCACAGGACCAGGAAATGGGGACCCAAAGGGGTGCACATTTGTGACTCGTTTCAGGAAACTAGGTGTATGTCGCGCGTCACTACTTCACAGGAGAGCCACTTGAACGTAAACTTTTTTTTAAAATCAAAATGGTTTTTTGACAGAAATGCCTTCTCTAACGTGAACTTTCATGTGCCTTAATAACATACTTGTATGCCATCTGTAAATAAGAATACAATTGTTAAACTACGAGATTAGTTGGTTTAGCCACGGAAAAAGACAGCAACCTTCTCGCTAGCCTTGATTGGCTGAGATAATGAGTGGGCTGGACATGCCGAGAGATGAGTTCGGATTGGTCTGCCATGTAGCACGCTTCTGTCTATAACATGAGCTGGTCAGTATGTGTAGGTAATCCTTTCTAACGCAGCTTTTTTTAAAGATATCACCTAGTAGAACTGCATGAGTATTGCTCTCCAATTTCTGGGAGGACCGAGTTTTGAAATCAGTGGAATTAGAGTATGATAGCTAAAGAGATGGAGAAAACACCTGTCTCCGGATTACATCTTCAAACTAAGGGCAACCATGGCATCCGTGACAGAGAGGGAAAAGCGTCCATCTATGTATACGGGTAAGATAATCTAGCTAGCTACATTTTTAGATATACGTTTCTAATTTTGGCTGGCTCACTAGCTAACATTACGTGTATGATCTGTGTAGTAATATTATTGTGTAGTAAGGATTATGGTTAATTGTCTAGCGAGCTAGCTACATGTCAAAACAAAAAAAGACTCCTCTATGCATGTAACCATTTCAATAGAATGTTCATGTTGTAACTGCGACAACTGTCGATAGACGTAGCTGGTAAATTCACTCTGGCTATCTACTCCGATTTCAGAGCACTCTCGTCTGAGTGTGCCAGAGCGCAGAATAACTGACAGATTTACGAACGCTCAACACACGTTGAATATGGCTGGTGTCAGTAAACGTTGGCAAAAAACACGTCATTAAATTATTGCCAGCAGCAGTTGCAGTCACCAACGCTCTGGATAACATAGAAACAGCCTAACCAGCTCTGCTAGGGCAAGCAAAATGGTCAGTGAGCTGTTCTCTCATTTGTGTCTGGAAAGTAGCTAGCAAGCTAGTCAACTTTAGCCAGTTAGCTTGACTGCTGTTAGGCCAGAACGCTCGGATCAACCCTACTCCTCAGCCACAGCGTCAGGTGTGCACTCTGATTGCTCCGAGAGCGAACCGCTCTGAATTTACGAATGAACAATCTGACAACGCTCTGAGTTTACGAACGCCCAGAGCGCACTCTGAGCACTCTGATACTCCAGATTAAATTTACAAACACACCCATAGTATAAACCAGCCTTTAGTCTTGAAATCTTTGGTTGTTTAGTACATGGCCTCACATGTGAATCCTTAAAGAGATGGGTGGGGCTAAAGCTTAAGAGGGTATGAACAATGCTGAATGGGTGTAGACAAAGAAGAGCTCTCCAGTGGGTGTACCAAAACATTCAAGGGTCATTTTCTCAAAAGTGAGGTTACAGGTTTATCAACTTTCAAAGCAGAATTACTTTCCCATTGTTCCTTAACTGTAGTGTATGATATACAATTTTCTAGCTCTGAGTCTCTACTTTTATCCAATGTAAAAAACACAATTTCAAATTTTGCTACATAAGACCGAATCGAGCCGGTCGGTCACATCTTACTTTTTGACCTAGCACTAACACACTTGATTCAATGAATCAACTCATCATCAAGTCTTTCATTATTTGAATCAGTTTTGTTAGTGCTAGGACAAAAACTAAAATGTGCACCCCTTTGGGTCCCCAGGACAAGGATTGGGAAACACTGGTCTATGGTACAAGAGCTGACTTGGCCAAAAGATAAATATGTCAAGAAACCGTTATAAAGAGGGATACAAGTGATATGATCGTTGATATGAAGAGTTTGGGTCCGGTCCAGAAACAACGCTTAGCCACTTGTGTAGATCTTAAATGTTTGGGTAGGCATAAGCAATATGGCAAAAATAATTCCACCTCACCTTTCAGAGGGTAAGTGGGAGTTACTACCATAGTATGCCTATCCAATAGTTTCAGATTTACACACCTGATTCAACTAGGCTTGACGAGTTGAATATAAGTGCTACGGCAAAGACAAAAAATGTGCACCCCTTTGGGTCCCCAGGACCAGCATTGGGGAAACACTGCGCTTTGGGTTGTTTGTGGCCCTGGTCTACTTGGTATTGAATATTGGGGGGGGTGACCTCTACCTTGCTGCTCTCCGGTCCCAGACGTTGCACCTCCTGTATTGCCAGCTTGTTGGTCTCTCCCAGCAACAGAAGCTGTTTGTTCAACAGGTACATCTGCTGCTGGAGGTTCTCACTGTTGGTGAGCTGAACAGGGGAAGAGAAAAGGAAAGATTTTTTGGGAGCATATTACTTTTTTTGTTTTGTTTGTTGAAATACACTGACCAATAGAATGTTTTTTTATTTTGCTCGACTAGCCTATAACTACCTTTCCTCTAGCTTTAAGATAAGCTCTTTTCTCTTTGAGGACTACGAAATAAACAGAGGTATGAAATGACTGGTAGTTTAATATGCTTAATAATGGCAATAGTTTTGTGTTGGTAATCTCACCTTGAGGGACAGTTGGGTGAGCTGGTGTCCAGTGTTGTATGCCTCGTTGTTGGCTTTCTGAAGCTCAGACTCCAGCTCTCCCATGTTGCTTTGGCATTCCTGTAGCTCACTCTGTAGACAAAATCAGAAGTCAGTACCTGGGGCCTCATTTATAAATGTTGCGTACGCACAAAATATGCACCAAAACATGCGTGTGCCAGTTCACGCAAAAGTTGGCATTCATAAAAACTGAAGTTGACGTGAGAATCGTCCCACAAACTTTAGACCATGCGCACACAGTTTCTAATGGTTGAAGTATTGCATTGCAAGAATGCAAAAGCAAAAGTGGGATTGTAGTAGCCTTGTGCAAATGGGATAATATACAGTGCATTCGGAAAGTATTCAGACCCCTTGACTTGTTTCACATTTTGTTACATTACAGCCTTATAAAATTGATTAAATTGTTTTTTCCCTCCTCAATGTACACACAATACCCCATAATGACAAAGAAAAAACAGGTTTAGACATTTTTGCAAATGTATATTAATACCAAAAAAAAAACTACTACATTTACATAAGTATTCAGACCCTTTACTCAGCACTTTGTTCAAGCACCTTTGGCAGCGATTACAGCCTCGAATCTTCTTGGGTATGACGCTACAAGCTTGGCACACCTGTATTTGGGGAGGTTCTCCCATTCTTCTCTGCAGATCCTCTCAAGCTCTGTCAAGGTTGGATGGAGAGTGTCGCTGCACAGCTATATCCAGGTCTTTCCAGAGATGTTTGATTGGGTTCGGACTCTGGCTGGGCCACTCAAGGACATTCAGAGACCTGTCCTGAAGCCACTCCTGCGTTGTCTTGGCTGTGTGCTTAGGGTCGTTGTCCTGTTGGAAGGTGAACCTTTGCCCCAGGTTGAGGTCCTGAGTGCTCTGGAGCAGGTTTTCATCAAGGATCTCTCTGTACATTGCTCCGTTCATCTTCCCCTTGATCCTGACTAGTCTCCCAGTCCCTGCCGCTGAAAAACATCCCCACAGCATGATGCTACCACAACCATGCTTCACCGACACAATCCTGTATCGGAGCTCTACGAACAATTCCTTCCACCTCATGGTTTGGATTTTGCTCTGACATGCACTGTCAACTGTGGAACCTTATATAGACAGGTGTGTGCCTTTCGAAATCATGTCCAATCAATTTAATTTACCACAGGTGGACTCCAATCAAGTTGTAGAAACATCTCAAGGATGATCAATGGAAACAGGATGCACCTGAGCTCAATTTCAAGTCTCATACCAAAAGGTCTGAATACTTAAGTACATTTTTATAAATTTGCAAACATTTCTAACAACCGGTTTTCGCTTTGTCATAATGGGTTATTGTGTGTAGATAAATGAGGAAAACAATTAATTTAATCCATTTTAGAATAAGGCTGTAACGTAACAAAATGTGGAAAAAGTGAAGGGGTCTGAATACTTTCCGAATGCACTGTATGATGCCACTCAAACTCAATTACGCCCGTGAACACACTGGAATTAGTGACTGAGAACAAACAGATGGGCCGCGAGTGTCAACAGCGTCATAGCGCGTCAAATGAGGGAAATAAGTATTTGACCCATCTGCAAAACATGACTTAGTACTTGGTGGCAAAACCCTTGTTGGCAATCAGAGGTCAGACGTTTCTTGTAGTTGGCCACCAGGTTTACACACATCTCAGGAGGGAATTTGTCCCACTCCTCTTTGCAGATCTTCTCCAAGTCATTAAGGTTTCGAGCCTGACGTTTGGCAACTCAAACCTTCAGCTCCCTCCACAGATTTTCTATGGGATTAAGGTCTGGAGACTGGTTAGGCCACTCCAAGACCTTAATGTGCTTCTTCTTGAGCCACTCCTTTGTTGCCTTGGCCATGTGTTTTGGGTCATTGTCATGCTGGAATACCCATCCAAAACCCATTTTCAATGCCCTGGCTGAGGGAAGGAGGTTCTCACCCAAGATTTGATGGTAGATGGCCCCGTCCATCGTCCCTTTGATGCAGTGAAGTTGTCCTGTCCCCTTAGCAGAAAAACACCCCCAAAGCATAATGTTTCCACCTCCATGTTTGACGGTGGGGATGGTGTTCTTGGGGTTATATGCCTCCTCCTCCAAACACGGCGAGTTGAGTTGATGCCAAAGAGCTCCATTTTGGTCTCATCTGACCACAACACTTTCACCCAGTTCTCCTCTGAATCATTCAGATGTTCATTGGCAAAGTTCAGACGGCCCTGTATATGTGCTTTCTTGAGCAGGGGGACCCTGCGGGCGCTGCAGGATTTCAGTCCTTCACGTCTTAGTGTGTTACCAATTGTTTTCTTGGTGACTATGGTCCCAGCTGCCTTGAGATCATTGACAAGATCCTCCCGTGTAGTTATGGGCTGATTCCTCACCGTTCTCATGATCATTGCAACTCCACGAGGTGAGATCTTGCATGGAGCCCCAGGCCGAGGGAGATTGACAGTTATTTTGTGTTTCTTCCATTTGCAAATAATCGCACCAACTGTTGTCACCTTCTCACCAAGCTGCTTGGCGATGGTCTTGTAGCCCATTCCAGCCTTGTGTAGGTCTACAATCTTGTCCCTGACATCCTTGGAGAGCTCTTTGGTCTTGGCCATGGTGGAGAGTTTGGAATCTGATTGATTGATTGCTTCTGTGGACAGGTGTCTTTTATACAGGTAAAAAACTGAGATTAGGAGCACTCCCTTTAAGAGTGTGCTCCTAATCTCAGCTCGCTACCTGTATAAAAGACACCTGGGAGCCAGAAACCTTTCTGATTGAGAGGGGGTCAAATACTTATTTCCCTCATGCAAATGCAAATCAAATGTATAACATTTTTGACATGCGTTTTCCTGGATTTTTTGGTGTTATTCTGTCTCTCACTGTTCAAATAAACGTATCATTACAATTATAGACTGATCATGTCTTTGTCAGTGGGCAAACGTACAAAATCAGCAGGGGATCAAATACTCACTGTATGCCTACCCTGTGCTGATTTTGATCACAGGCATATACACTGCTCAAAAAAATTAAGGGAACACTAAAATAACACATCCTAGATCTGAATGAATTAAATAATCTTATTAAATACTTTTTTCTTTACATAGTTGAATGTGCTGACAACAAAATCACACAAAATTTTTCAATGGAAATCAAATTTATCAACCCATGGAGGTCTGGATTTGTAGTCACCCTCAAAATTAAAGTGGAAAACCACACTACAGGCTGATCCAACATTGATGTAATGTCCTTAAAACAAGTCAAAATGAGGCTCAGTAGTGTGTGTAGCCTCCACGTGCCTGTATGACCTCCCTACAACACCTGGGCATGCTCCTGGTGAGGTGGCGGATGGTCTCCTGAGGGATCTCCTCCTAGACCTGGACTAAAGCATCCGCCAACTCCTGGACAGTCTGTGGTGCAACGTGGCATTGGTGGATGGAGCGAGACATGATGTCCCAGATGTGCTCAATTGGATTCAGATCTGGGGAACGTTGGTCTCACAAGGGGTCTGAGGATCTCATCTCGGTACCTAATGGCAGTCAGGCTACCTCTGGCGAGCACATGGAGGGCTGTGCGGCCCCCCAAAGAAATGCCACCCCACACCATGACTGACCCACCGCCAAACCGGTCATGCTGGAGGATGTTGCAGGCAGCAGAACGTTCTCCACGGCGTCTCCAGACTCTGTCACGTTTGTCACATGTGCTCAGTGTGAACCTGCTTTCATCTGTGAAGAGCACAGGGCGCCAGTGGCGAATTTGCCAATCTTGGTGTTCTCTGGCAAATGCCAAACGTCCTGCACGGTGTTGGGCTGTAAGCACAACCCCCACCTGTGGACGTCGGGCCCTCATACCACCCTCATGGAGTCTGTTTCTGACCGTTTGAGCAGACACATGCACATTTGTGGCCTGCTGGAGGTCATTTTGCAGGGCTCTGGCAGTGCTCCTCCTGCTCCTCCTTGCACAAAGGCGGAGGTAGCAGTCCTGCTGCTGGGTTGACCTGGTTGTCTATTCCATTTGCACAACAGTGGTCACCACCTGCAGAACCACTCCTTATTGGGGGGTGTCTTGCTAATTGCCTAGAATTTCCACCTGTTGTCTATTCCATTTGCACAACAGCATGTGAAATTTATTGTCATCAGTGTTGCTCCTAAGTGGACAGTTTGATTTCACAGAAGTGTGATTGACTTGGAGTTACATTGTGTTGTTTAAGTGTTCCCTTATTTTTTGAGCAGTGTGTATTCACACCCCTTGACTCATTCCACATTTTGTTGTTACAGCCTGAATTCCAAATTGATTAAATTGATCTCTCACCCATCTAAGCACAATAACCCATAATGACAAAGTGAAAACATGTTTTTATAAATTTTTGCCAATGTATTGAAAATGAAATACAGAATTCTCATTTACATAAGTATTCACACCCCTGACTCAATACTTTGTAGAAGCACCTTTGTCAGCGATTACAGCTGTGAGTCTTTCTGGGTAAGTCTCTAAGCGCTTTCCACACCTGGATTGTGCAACATTTACCCATTATTCTTTTCAAAATTCTTCAAGCTCTGTCAAATTGGTTGTTGATCATTGCTAGACAAAAAATGTCAGGTCTTGCCATAGATTTTCAAGTAGATTTAAGTCAAAACTGTAACTCGCCACTCAGGAACATTTACTGTCTTCTTGGTAAGCAACTCCAGTGTAGATTTGGCCTTGTGTTTTAGGTTATTGTCCTGCTGAAAGGTGAATTCAAATCCCAGTGTCTGGTAGAAAGCAGACTAAACCAGGTTATCGTCTAGAATTTTGGCTGTGCTTAGCTCGATTCAGTTTAGTTTTCATCCTGAAAAATTCCCCAGTCTTTAACGATTACAAGCATACCCATAACACGATGCAGCCACCACTATGCTTGAAAAAACTTAAAAAGTGGTACTCGGTAATGTGTTGTATTGGATTTGCCCCAAACAATACTTTGTATTCAGGACAAAAAGTTAATTGCTTTACCACATTTTTGGTAGTATTACTTTAGTGCCTTGTTGCAAACATGATGCATATTCTGTACAGGATTCCATTATTATTTTTAAATTTTTTTATTTCGTGATTACGATCTTGTCTCATCGCTGCAACTCCCCAACGGGCTCGGCGAAGGTCGAGTCATGCGTCCTCCGAAACATGACTCGCCAAGCCGTGCTTCTTAACACCCACTCGCTTAACCCGGAAGCCAGCTGCACCAGTGTGTCGGAGGAAACACTGTTCAACTAACGACCTAAGTCAGCCTGCAGGCGCCCGGCCCGCCACAAGGAATCACTAGAGCGCGATGAGCCAAGTAAAGCCCCCCAGCCAAACCCTCCCCTAACCCGGACGACGCTGGGCCAATTGTGCACCGCCCTATGAGACTCCCGGTCACGGCCGGTTGTGACACAGCCTGGGATCGAACCCCAGGCTGTAGTGACACAGTGCCTTAGACCGCTGCGCCACTCAGAAGGCCATGATTCCTTCTTTTCACTGTCAATTAGGTTAGTATTGTGGAGTAACTACAATGTTGTTGATCAATCATAAGTCTCCTATCACAGCCATTAAACTGTTTTAACGTCACCATTGGCCGGTTTTCTTCCTCTCGGGCAACTGAGTTAGGAAGGACACCTGTATCTTTTTAGTGACTAGGTGTATTGGTACACCATCCAAAGTGTAATTAATAAACTTCACCATGCTCAAAGGGATGTTCAATGAGTGCTTTTTTAAAATTGTATTTACCAATAGGTGCCCTTCTTTGCGAGGCATTGGAAAACCTCCCCGGTCTTTGTGGTTGAATCTGTGTTTAAAATTCACTGCTCGACTGAGGGACCTTACAGATAATTGTTTATGTGGGGTACAGAGATGAGGTAGTTATTCAAAAAGCATGTTCAACAGTTATTGCACACAGTGAGTCCATGCAACTTATTACGTGACTTGTTAATCACATTTTATTATGAACTTATTTAGGCTTGCCATAACAAAGGGGCTGAATACTTATTGACTCAAGACATTTCCACTTTTCATTTTTATTTAAAGTAGTGAACATTCCTAAAAACATAATTCCACTTTTACATTATGGGGTATTTGTGTGTAGGCCAGTAATCTATTTTAAATTCAGTCTTTAACAGAACAAAATGTAGAAAAAGTTGATAGATTTAGTTTATCTTAGCATTTTAAAATAATTAGAAATAGGCATCTATTTCCTATTATTTATTTCATTTCCATGACCATTGCAGAATAAATTCCTCACTTGCAAAATAGCCTTTAGGCCTACAACAAGTTAGGCTAACCATTCCCGGTCCCATCTCTCATTTAATTGGGCCTATTAGATAGGCTATTATAATTTCAAGTTGTTGCTGTATGCATCCGAAAGGGAGTGCGCTTTATAACATACAGCAGAATGTAACAGGTGAACAGACAGTTGATCGTTTGCATTGAAGTGTGTAGGCTACCACTGTAAGTAGGTCTACTGTAGTTTTCATTGTTTTCCAAGTAAACAATGTTTCAGAATTCGCAGGCAGGGCAGCATATTTAGGTTCGGGAAAAAGTAAATGCAAAACATTATTGAATTCAAACGATCTGTTAACTGGTCCACAACAATTTGCAATTGTTTTTGTCTTTCAGAAATGGAAACATCAAATGTCCTGCAAAAGAAAACATTCTGCCAACACCTCCAAATACATTTGATCAAGTTTGCCATGGCTATCCTTTAGATACTGTTTTGGCCCAATTCCAATACTTCCATAGAAGGCATATACAGGGAGTTATTGTCACCATAAAAGGTGAATGATGTGCGTTTTTCAGGCAGAGTTATAATGCTCGTTCACGCTTGCACAGTTTTACGACAGGTCTGATTTATAACGGGAAACATGTGTAACGGGAAACATGTGTTTTTTCAGAAATTGCGCACGTAGATATTTAGTGTAAAATGTATGCTTCGGTTATAAATGAGGCACCTGGACATTAGTAAATAAATATACAGACCCTCTCCTGAAAAGATGCAAGTCCTGGTTATAAGGCGGTTGATTCATAAAAATACGATTGGTTAAATGTATTACATTCCCTCATGTGTCAAAGTGATACTGTGTACTATATATGTGTGTGTGTGTGTGTGTGTGCACATGTGTACCTGCAGCTTCTGAGCCTTGGTTAGGTACTGGTCGTGGCCCTGTTGTAGCTGTTGGAATTGACTGTGGAGGCAGGCCGTCTCAGTGTCTCCGTCCTCCTTCAGGCGCCTGTAGCGCTGCTGCTCCTCCGCCAGGCTGGCCTGCAGAGACTGGATCTCCACGTCCTGCAGCTTCAGCTGGGCCTTCTGCAACCAAATCAAACATCTGCATTTAAAATCACAACACACTTTACAGTAAAACAACCAATTAATGAGATACAAAAACAAGCAGGCCATAAAAAAAATGTAATAAAAAGATGTCAACCACCGCTCCCACATCAACCTAAGGAACCGCATACTCATGTTCATTAGGCACCAATATGAACTTGTCCAATATGAAGCGGTCGTTTGTCTTTTTCCGCTGCAAAACATTTTGCTACGGGGTGCACTAATGAATACGACCCTGGTAAACAACATGCATGCTTTCATTTCCAAAAATAAGTTATGTTCTATTCGGGATTCAATGGCTTCTGACTGGGCATGGAGTGCAAGGTTTTTAAATTAACCATTGAGTTGTTTTGCTCTTCCATGGCGGTGGCGTTGATGATGCGGCGGAGCAGGCGGCGGTTGCGAATGGCGTGCTGCTCTCTCTTGTAGCGCTCGTACAGGAGCTGGTTGTGGAGCAGCAGCACCTGACTGCGCAGCGTGTTCAGCTCATCCAGCGGCGTGGTGCCTGTCGAGAGGACAGAGGAGCAAAAATGTTTGACTGTTTACCAACTCATTTCTTCAAGACCATGTTATTCATCTCCACAGAAAACTAGATACTAGTACTGTAGTATCTAAAACTATTACAATTATACTGAACAAAAATATAAAATACAACATGTAAAGTGTTGGTCCCATGTTTCATGAGCTTAAATAAAACATCCCCGAAATGTTCCATACGCACAAAAACCTTATTTCTTTCCAACTTTTGTGCAGAAATTGGTTTACATCTGAGTTAGTGAGCATTTCTCCTTTGCCAAGATAATCCAACCACCTGACAGGTGTGGCATATCAAGAAGCTGATTAAACAGCATGATCATTACACAGGTGCACCTTGTGCTGGGGACAATAAAAGGCCACTCTAAAATGTGCAGTTTTGCCACACAACATAATGCCACAGATGTCTAAAGTTTTGGAGGGAGCGTGCAATTGGCATGCTGACTGCAAGAATGTCCACCAGAGCTGTTGCCAGAGAATTTAATGCTCATTTCTCTACCATAAGCCGCCTCCAACGTCGTTTTAGAGAATTTGGCAGTATGTCCAACCGGCCTCACAACCACACCAGACCAGGACCTCCACATCCGGCTTCTTCACCTGTGGGATCGGTGGAGACCAGCCACCCGGACAGCCGATGAAACTGAGGAGTATTTCTATCTGTAATAAAGCCCTTTTTGTGGGGAAGAACTCATTTGGATTGGCTGGGCCTGGCTCCCCAGTGGGTGTGCCCCTGCCCAGTCATGTCAAATCCATAGATTAGGGCCTAATTTATTTATTTCAATTGACTGATTTTCCTATATGAAATGTAATTCAAATTAGTTGAATGTTGTGTTATAATTTTGTTCAGTATATATCAAAACAAAATGGTACTGTATATTGCATAGATTTTAAACATTAACCTAAGCACTGCATGCATAGATTGTCTCAAAAAAACCTTGAACTTTTGACTCCATAGCAAAGGGCAAGAAACCATGAGATACAGTGGCTCTCAGATTGTGATCAACATAGTAAGCCAAATTCCATTGGATTGAATAGGTCAATCTAATTAATATTAGACTGGAGTGATTGGAGGACAGAAACAGAAGGACAGGTTGAGCCACACACTCATGGAAGTTCCCCTAGGTACAGATCTATGATCAGCTCCCCCTTTCCCAATCCTAACCTTAACCATTAGTGGGTTAAATCCAAAACTGACCCAAGATCAGCGTTTAGGGTCAACCACACCCTACTGCATATTTTACAGCTGATATGTAGCTTTTCAAACAAAGATACAGGTAGGAACCTGCTAGAAAAAAGACACATAAACCGAAAAATAGAGAGATGGATGTGGTAGGATGGAGCGCGCAGACAGGAAAAAACGATAGAGGTCTCGTCCTCTTCCCCAGCATAGCGTAGTGGCAATATATTTTGCAATACCTTTTCGCTTTCATACTCTGTTGTTTACCTCCAAAGTGTGTCCAATCCACTGACGTGTTTGGCATGGGCAATCTATAACACACACACACAGTACAGAGGAGTGTGAGGAGAGATCACAATGAAGGGGCAATAACAGACATGGCTGTTAATTACAGTACGGCACACCACACAGCCAAGTCATGAGCACTTCATAGCAATGTACAGACAAACCCACTACCAGTGAATCGTGAACTCACACGAGAGAGCATTAACATGGATGGAGTACTATTCTATGGTAGGAATTGGCCTGCCCGCCCAGACTTCCATAAAGGGTCCGTTGTCCATACGGACAGAGTAGCAAAACACACTCAGCCAGCCATGCATGACCTCTCACCTCTTGAGCACTTTGTCGTAGGCCTCGTTGCCGTGCTGAATCAGGCGATCCAGGACCTCCAGCGGGGACATTGCCGCCGTCTCGTCCCCTTCCTCCTCCCCCCTGCTCGCGTTCCTCTCCCCCCCGTCGCCAGCTGCCCTCTGTGCCAGTGCCACCGATGTCTTCCTCCCCACAAACAGAGAAGCGGCCCTGGGCAGGGCCAGCTCAAACAGAGGCTCGTAGACGGGGTTCGCAGGGTCCCTGAAGGTACTGGGGGAGGAGAACGGGCCATACTTGGCCAGACCGGAGCCCCCCTCCTCCTCGGCCCCGTAGGGGCTCCGAGAAGAGCTAAAGCCGGTCAGCAGGTTGTCGATGGGGGTGAAGCACGGCCGGAAGGACCAGGGGAGCTGCTGGTCTCCTCCCCCCGCCGAGCACTCGCTCTTGTCGGGTGTGGAGTCCAGGCGCTGAGCCTCCTTGTTTAGGCTCTGGTTGGAGGCGGTGAGGAGCAGCTCCTTCTCCTGAGGCCCAGTCAGTGTCTCTGTAGTGCTGTAGAATGAGCGGTCTGCCCCCCCCACCGCTGCCTGGTGCTTCTGCTCAGTCAACTTCAGGAGCTCCTCTGTGATGGCATCTGACCAGGGAGAAGAGCGTATGGAACAAATCAATGCTTTCACACCGACTGACTGAACACAAGTGGTTTTCATGGGAAGATATTAATACCGTAGTAGGTTTGGGGGGGATTTAATGAGCTCTGGTGTGATGTTTCCCTTAGGTACAGATCAAGGATCAGCTTCCCCTCCCCCAATCCTAACCTTAACCACTAGTGGGGAAAATGCATAACTGACCAAAGACAAGTGGTATAGGGGCAACTTCACCATACACCATTTCATGAATTGGGAAAAACCGTTCACCCTCGTCTCGTTCCTTCTCCATCCTCTGACTGTCCAGATTCTGCTCTTTGATGAAGTCCGACAGCTCGGTCAACGACATGGTCTTCACGCTCTCACCAGCAGCACCTGACAAAGACAGAGCATAGAGAGTGCTTAGCACCAGACCTGGGTTCAAATAGAATTTGTTTTCTTTCAAATACTTCAGCTGCGCTACATTGAACTTGCCTCAATGGAACTAATGGAATAGGTAGCAAAAGTGCAAACCCCGACCATCTGGGTACTCTAGAAAGGCTCAATCAAACAAAAACTATTCGAAAGACAACCAATACTATTTCAACCCAGGTTCTGTTAATACCATTTCAACCCAGGTCCCATCAACACCACCTCTATTCTATAGTGGTCTCAGGTCATGCCTTTCTTTACACCACAAAAAGCCAAAAAATTGGGGGAGGAAAGGTACTTTGGCGACGTCAACAGAACTAACAAGTAATGTTAGGCAATAAATAGTAGCGATGGGGGGGAAAATATCATTTTGACAATATTAAATTGATATTTGACTCCAACTTAATATATAATAACAAATGTTTAGCTACTGTAGGTAGCATTAGCTAGTGCTCCAGTATTCTTCATCCTATAGCTTGTTCTACATCGTTTTAAATAGTGAGCCAACATGTTTACAACACTTATTTCCGAGTGATCAAAACTCATTTTCTCATGCTCTCTCTAATCTCTTTGCAGAAGACATATTGTGAGCAATATGTTTGTAACAAAAAAAGTAATTAATAAAAAATAAAAAAAGTGCAGTATCGAATCCCAATACACATCGTATCGGCACTTAAGTATTGTGATAATATCGTATCATGAGGTCCCTAGCAATTGCCAGCCCTAATAAATAGGCAAGAAATCTGGTCTAGTGAACGATCGTTCATAAGAAGAGGACATTTGTTCTTAACTCCTTACACTCGTGGGAATTGGCCTATATGGATAGGTCTACATTTAAATGTTTCTTACAGAAGAAATATGAAAAGCATATGCATAACCATTGTAGCAATTAAAAGGGAACAGTTTGGAGATTATGGTAAAATTATTAGACTGAAAGTGAGGACAACAGTTCACCTTACTTTTCAAAATACATCGAGACCTCGTAATTTACAGCATTTACCTCACTCAGACAACACAAAAGTTGCAAAAGTTGCCCAATTAGTGGGAGGGGTGCTCAAGTTCAGAACGGAGACCCTGAGCTCTGACGTCATGTATAGCATGTTCCTGTACTGCCACTGAGCTCTGACGTCATGTATAGCATGTTCCTGTACTGCCACTGAGCTCTGACGTCATGTATAGCATGTTACTATACTGCCACTGAGCTCTGACGTCATGTATAGCATGTTACTGTACTGCCACTGAGCTCTGACGTCATGTATAGCATGTTACTGTACTGCCACTGAGCTCTGACGTCATGTATAGCATGTTACTGTACTGCCACTGAGCTCTGACGTCATGTATAGCATGTTCCTGTACTGCCACTGAGCTCTGACGTCATGTATAGCATGTTACTGTACTGCCACTGAGCTCTGACGTCATGTATTCATGTTACTGTACTGCCACTGAGCTCTGACGTCATGTATAGCATGTTACTGTACAGCCACTGCATTCCAATTTAGGTGCTTATCGGTGTCCAAATCTGCCATTTTCAACCCGTATATTGGTACGAGTGTAAAGGGCTAACATTCGCCCTATTAAAAGCAATAAAAAAAAAAAAAAATTGTCATTTTAGCAGACGCTCTTATCCAGAGCGACTTACAGTTAGTGAGTGCATACATTTTCATACTGGCCCCCCATGGGAAACGAACCCACAACCCTGGCGTTACAAGCGCCACGCTCTACCAACTGAGCTACACGGGGCCTGCAATGAATCATGACAGAGCGAAATCTGCTCCTCTTCGGAGATGAGCAAAGCCGCTGACCTTTGCTGATGACCTCAGGGTTGCCTCTATCCGCCTCTCCGCTCGGTTTCTGCTTCAGCTGTCGGGACAGATACAAATTCAGCTGATGAAAAGTCCTACAGATGGACCAGTGGCTTCAAACACACACACACACACACACAACCAGCGCACAAACAGCACTCGGTACAACCTTAACATAAATACAGTCAACACAGTCTGGAGCAAACCAACTCTACTCTGCGGGTGGAGTGACGGCTTCGTTTGCGTGACTTTTAGAGAGAGTTCAGTTTAGTTCAGTTTGCCACTTCTGCCGAAGATGGCATTTCAGCTCTGCTTGTGGTCAGTGTACACTCTGGCTCTGCAGATACTTCCCTTTTCATAGCTATGATCTGTACTGCGTTGCTATGATCTGTACTGGCCAATTAAATAATTGAAGAACATCTTCGGTAATTAACTTCTAGGAGTAGTGCTTAGGGGTTCTGGTACAGAGATTCTGGTAGTAAGAATTGTGTGCTACAGTATATACCTGGTTGGTTGTGTTGGGGGCTGAACAAACATGCTCAAACTCATTGGAGAGAGTCAGGGCAGGACTGAGACATTTCCCACCTGTGATGAAACAAGAACACACAACTGAGTGAAAAGTTCTTATGACAGTCCATCAAAAACACTCTTCGTAGCACCGGAAAGTAAACCAACTGTTCTTTCTTCTCCCGTCTTAACTTTCACTAGATCTTCATATGTTTTCCCCAGCTGGTATTTGACCAGCAAAAACTAAAGTCAAATCATAACATAAAAAAATGAACAAAAATGACCTGATGTGCTGGCTGTTCGGCTGGGGGCATGGGAGGCACTTTGGGATAGCTCTGGGACATTGGCAGGGGAGATGCCCCTCGAGGTGGGAGGTGTGGTCATTCCACACTCCGAGGACGGACTCCACATCGACACTTTATTCCCAGCAGGGTAAACTTCACAGTGTTGGTTCTGGAAACACAGGCACAGGGACAAGAGGGCCATGTGTCTCAAGAGAATTTACGTGAATCACAATCAATGGGAATACAGAATAGAATACAATTGTGTAGAATAACTTTATTTTTCACAGTGGGAACTTCAGTGTTTTATGTTATATACTTGGTACACTGAACAAAAATATGAACGCATCATGTAAAGTGCTGGTCCCATGTTTCATGAGCTGAAAAAAAAAAGATCACAGAAATGTTCCATATGCACAAAAAGCTTATTTCTCTCAAATTGTGGATACATTTGTTTACATCCCTGTTAGTGACCATTTATCCTTTGCCAAGATAATCCATCCACCTGACAGGTGTGGCATATCAAGAAGCTGATTAAACAGCATGATCATTACACAGGTTCACATTGTGCTGAGGACAATAAAAGGCCACTCTAAAATGTGCAGTTGTCACACAAGACAATGCCACAGATGTCTCAAGTTTTGAGGGAGCGTGCAATTGGCATGCTGACTGCAGGAATATCCACCAGAGCTGTTGCCAGAGAATTCAATGTTAATTTCTCTACCATAAGCTGCCTCCAATGTCATTTTAGAGAATTTTGGAAGTACATCCAAACGGCCTCACAACCGCAGTGCCCCATGGTGGCGGTGGGGTTATGGTATGGGCAGCCATAAACTACGGACAACGAACACAATTGCATTTTAGCAATGGGAATTTGAATGCACAAAAATACCGTGACGAGATCCTGAGGCCTATTTTCTTTTACGGTATCTGTGACCAACAGATGAATATCTGTATTCCCAGTCATGTGAAATCCATAGATTAGGGCCTAATGAATTTATTTCAATTGGCTGATTTCCTCATATGAACTGTAACAACAGTAAAATCTTTGAAATTGTTGCATGTTGCGTTTATATTTTTGTTCAGAGCTTTAGATTTACCAAAGGTTTTCAATGTAATCTCGCTAATGGGTGTTTTTGCTTGGAGAACGGTGACCCACCTGATGGAAAGAGGTGTGGGGACTGCAGAGGGAGGACTGGGTCCCTGATAGCTGGGTTAAGGACAAGGAGAGAGGTGGTCGGCCAACCGATAAGGGGGTAGAGGCAGAGCTACCTGTGTGGGGGAAAAATACGCACCTCGAATATTAACACACACACAACCTGTAAATACAGGCACGCTGATGAACAGCTCAAAACCTCTTTCGCCCCCCCTGAAGTAACATTGACACTGTGTGGTAGAAAAATACAAAAGTTAAGTGTGGCTTACAACTAAGGAACCAAGTGGTATATCGCCAAACTGCTGTTCTAGCCTGTAACTGCAGTACTCTATCACAAATGACTTTCCAACAAAATACAGCAACGACGGAGTAGCCAGGGGCGGCAGGTAGCTTAGTGGTTAAGAGCGTTGTGCCAGTAACCGAAAGGTCGCTGGTTCTAATCCCCAAGCCGACTAGGTGAAAAATCTGTCGATGTGCCCTTGAGCAAGGCACTTAACCCTAATTGCTCCTGTAAGTCGCTCTGGATAAGAGCGTCTGCTAAATGACTAAAATGTAAATGTAGCCTGGTCCAAATTCGGTTTGTGCCATCATGTCAACTCCTTGTCATGCCAAACATGTTTGGCACAAACAGACCTGGGACCAGGCTAAGGAGAGAGCTGTGCTACATTGGTAATATTTTATTGGGATTGTGTTGAATCAAAGTGAATGTGTCGGAGCTCTTACCGAAGCTGCTGAGGAAGTCGGTGTAGGGGCTGGCAGTGTAGTCGAGACCGGACCGCAGGTGGGGGTGATGGTGGATGAAGACGTGGTCTGGCATGCTGGAGTAACCCTCCTCACAGGACGCTTCCTTGGGGTCCAGGGACACTTTTGCACATTCAATCACAATGTCGTGGATCTCAAACCTCTTCCACCTGGCCAAGGGGTTTGATAGGACCCCTTATTATTAGTGTAAACTTGGCTGTTGTCGGGTCAGACCTTACTAGTTGAAAGAGTCTTTGGTTGTGTCAAATGGCACCCTATTCCCTATATAGAGCACTACTTTTGACCAGGGCCCGGGCTCTGGTCAAAAGTAGTGCACTATATAGGGAATAGGGTGCCATTTGGGAATCCTACTTTCTGAGTGCTTACCTGGAGGGGTCCAGCTCATAGTCGTTGGTTCCAGTGACCAATTCGGGATGTATCCGCACGTGCTCCAACATCGGCTAAGAAACGAGCAAATTGGTGAGACAGATGATCATGAGACATCTCTTCACACAACATACATTTATGTAGTGCACAGACTCTAGCATGGGGTGAGTATGGCGTGTCCTGTTGTACTCACCTGCATACCCCACAAGACTTGCCACCAGAGGTCTCTTCACAGTCCCGAACAGACTATGGGAGGCGCACAGTACTACATACAGCCATGACTACATGGAACTCTATTCCACATCAGGTAACTGATGCAAGTAGTAAAATTAGATTTTTAAAAAAACATAAAAAAACAGCGGGGACTGTGAAGCAACACAAACATAGACGCAGACACATGCAGACACACACGAGTACACCTGGAGTTTTGTACTGTAGATATGTGGTAGTGGTGGAGTAGGGGCCTGAGGGCACACAGTGTGTTATGAAATCTGTGAATGTATTGTAATGTTTTTAAAATTGTATGAACTGCCTTCATTTTGCTGGACACCAGGAAGTGTGGTGATCCATAATAAATACAAATACAAAATACCTTCACCACTTCCTCAAAGGTGTCCACATTCTCCTTCATACTGTAGTGGGAGCGCAGGTAGGAGACAAAGTTGCAGGGGTACATGCCGTAGAGCCGGTGGAAGAGGGAGTACACACTGGCATGGAGGTGGATCAGATATACCCCGTGCACATGCCCTATGGTCCACAGGGTGGGTTGTGGGGCGAGAACAGGGGGTTATGCAACATTTCACAATTCCAAGGAAATTACCAAAGGAGATTCCAAGGAAATAGATCCTGTCCTGTAGCTAGATGAGCATGGTTTCTCTAGTAGTAGTACTACTGAATAGTGTGGCTGTGACCTACAATTCACCACACATTTAATGAAGGGAAAATCCTATATCAGATAGTACTCAGAGAGCTACTGTCCCCTCCTTCCCATTCATTTTCATTCCCATGGGACAGGTTATGGGTTTGATCTTAGGGTGTTCCTCCAACCTCCAGCCATTTCGCTCATCTCATCTATCCCATTACTAACACACCTGATTCAATTGGTCAACTAATCATCAAAAACCATGAATAGCTGAATCTAGTGGTGGAATAGATCAAATAGGTGAAACGGTTGGTAGTCCCAGAAGTGTGATTTGCTGTGTCAAATTGCTGTGGTCTGATGGGTTACGCCCTTTCTAGTAATTGTGTTTCTATGTGGGCAACACTGATCTACGTTAAACCACCTGGGTTTTTCAGGCTCCAGGACGACAGTCGGCCAAAGATGTCAAAGAAGTCGTATATGTGCTGCTTCCCAGCATGGGGTATCATGGGTAGCAGTGTGATCAACACCAGGACTCCAGTTATCAGCACCACCACATCAGAGTCAGTCTAGAAAGTGCAAAAAAAAGAGAGTGCAAAGTCAATGGCTGTGTCCCACATTGCACCCTATTCCCTATAACAGTGGAGGCTGCTGAGGGGAGGACGGCTCGTAATAATGGCTGGAACGGCGCGAACGGTATCAAACATACGGAAACCATGTGTTTGATGTATTTGATACCATTCCACTGATTCTGCGCCAGCCGTTACCACGAGACCGTCCTCCCCAATTAAGGTGCCACAAACCTCCTGTGCCCTATATAGTGCACTACTTATGACCAAGGCGCTGACTGACGTACCTTAAGGCATTTGAGTAAGGCGGTGAGCAGAGGGAAGCGGGTTATCTTGTGCATCCAGGGGGGCTGCTTGCGGATGACGTGCCCCAGGAGGGTTAGGGTGGGCAGCCGACAGGCCGGCTTGGCCATGCACTCGTTCAGCTTGTCCAGGAGGTGCTGCGGGACAACAGACAGGTTAACATATCCAGTGCAAAGGTGTATTCACTAGGAACCAAACAGGAGGGGGGAAAAAGGGACTAAATAGTGGGACTAACATAAACTTGTCCAATAAGAAAGTATTTTTTCCGCTGGAAAACATTTTGCTATGGTGTACACTCAACGATTGCTCGTGGAATTCAACATGTTGTCAACAATGGCTTCCGTGCGATATTGTCAATGAATAAATTATTCTGTTTAAGATGTGTGGTGAGACAGCCATGATCCAATTCTTCAGAGCACAATGTTATGTTTTGAGATCCCTGTGGTAAACCACACTTTATCCACAGAGGCTGGATTGGTAGCCTGGTCCCAGTTCTGTTTGTGGTGTCCTGCCAACTCGTGCCAATGATCATAGGAGTTGGCAAGACAGCACACCGATCTGGGACCAGGCAACTCAATTGGTGCTACGGGTGAAGATTCCCATAAGTACAGATCAGAGATCAACTTCCCCTCCCCCTTATTCTAACTATTAGTGGGGGAAAATGCTAAACTGACCCAAGATCAGAGCCTAGGGGCAACTTTACCCTACAGTGCTCACCTTGTCATGAGGCTCCCTGACAGAGCAGAGGATGAGTATAGCCTGTGGAGAGCTGGTGTCAAGGTAGTAATCCACAAGGCCATTGAGCAGCACAGACCCTCGCTCTGTCAAACACAAGGGAAGAATCAACCATTCAATGTATGTAGCATGTTGATGACTAGAGACAACCAGAGCCATGTATTTTGAATTGATTATATGTATAATAGCCATGTATTTATTTATCTCAATATATGGCTCTGGAGACAATGTCAAGGACATAGAGGGAGATCCTGCCAATACATTAGATGTTGGTTTATTTGTTCATTCTTTGCTAATAATATATGCCATTTAGCAGACGCTTTTATCCAAAGTGACAGTCATGCGTGCATATATTTTAAGTATGGGTGGTCCCGGGAATCGAACCCACCATCCTGGCGTTGCAAGCACCATGTTCTACCAACTGAGCTACAGAGGACCCAGCCCTTGATCATGACTCTCAGTTCCATTACATTACACATAAGTCATTGGACAAAGGTATCTCCTGTACGGGGGAGTTTTGTTAAGAGCCCCGATGCTCGGTCTGAACTTTAACACGCATCGCTTGCTGTACGGTTTTGGAAGCATAAGGACCTTATCTTTCATATATGTGAGAAATATATATATTTTTTTAAGGTTAAATTGATACACACCTTTATAGGGTAAGTGTTCCCACACGGCCATCTCTCCATGTTACAGTGCTTGTTTACGGAAAACAGACGGAAGACAGAGGCGTGTAAGCATAACTCGGCAAGTAGCAGAATTGTAGTTTCGTTGGATGGTGGCACCCATAGCTGTATGGATCTGTGCTAAACTGCTTCAGTAAGTGTATCTTTATTATATCTCGCTGATGAAAGATAAGGACCATATGTTTCAAAAGCCGTATCGTAAGCGATGATTACTGACATTTCTAAACGTTAACACTGTCGGGATCGTAGTTCATATGAGCCAGTGGTGGGCAAAGCTAACCGCTGGAAACTGCTGGGAGAAGGCTAGTGCTAGCGATGAATGCTTTTGTAGTCAGTTTTCAATTTCAGTTTCGATTCTTTTTTTAAACATTAAATGCACTATGCATTAAGTGGGTTGAATGCTGTAACACAGAACAAAACAATTAATAAAAGTCACATGATGGCAGTGACTGACCATTACTGCTCATCACTTGCGCTCCTGAGTGGCGCAGTGGTCTAAGGCACTGCATCGCAGTGCTAACTGTGCCACTAGTGATCCTGGTTCGAATCCAGGCTCTGTCGCAGCCGGCCGCGACCGGGAGACTCATGGGCGGCGCACAATTGGCCCAGCGTTGTCCAGGGTAGGGGAGGGAATGGCCGGCAGGGATGTAGCTCAGTTGATAGAGCATGGCGTTTGCAATGCCAGGGTTGTGGGTTCGATTCCCACGGGGGGCCAGTATAAAAAAAATATGTATTCACTAACTGTAAGTCGCTGGTTAAGAGCGTCTGCTAAATGACTAAAAATGTAAATGTAAAATCACTTATTAACCATCATTTATTCACATTACTTTACTGGAATATAATATTTCAGCTGTTGTGTATATTACATTTGTTTTATTGGGCTGAATGACACCCCCACCCCCAAAAAACCCCTGCTAAGGATCATGGTGAAAGTGGCCGTAATTATCAAAGGATCATGGTCGATGTAGTCAGTTTCATCCTGCCTGAGAGAGTCAACCTTAATGTCTATGGCATGAGGGCGCAAGCTTCCTCGTAGCCTGCCGGCCTGTGATTGGTCTGTCTCAGCACATGGTCCTGTGTGATGACAAATGTAGTAGTCAGAATTGATCACTATTTAATGAAATATCTTGATTTGTCGCAAACTTAATAACTTAATAATTCACAGAGGAGATCAAACTTCATAATAAACTAATTTTAGAGCCCAAAATGGCCATAGATTACTACTTTTTTTACCATTCTGGCGATCGTAATGTACATATGCTTTCTAAGGCAGACCAGGGCTTTTGGCACTGCTAGGTTGCTACGCAGTAGCCGACCAGCAGAGCACTTGACTTCACGCTTCAGACCAGACACTGAGGGCCTGTTTTATTTTTAGGTAGAGATACCTTGCGAAGCAACCGCTCTCTGTCCCTCCCTCTATTGCGCATTCTTCTGTCTCTTCCGTAGCAGGCGTAAAAGAAACACACAGACCCGACAAGTAGGCGCAAAATGGATTATGGTCATTGTAGTTAATTACCGCGCTAAACTACGTAGAATATTGGCCTGTTGGTAACTACAACTCCCTACTACATTACACAGTTCGGACAGTCAAGTGCTGCCTTGGCAGCAGCTAATAAGAATCCAGAATAAATAAAAATTATCGCTCAGCACCAGAGAAGGCAGAATGTCACCTATAGTTTGAGACCTACAGAGGACCATGCAAACACTGACCTATTCTCTCCCTACTTGTATGTAGTAACCTCAGCCTGTCATGGTGGAGTGACTAGTAGGGAGAGGGAGGATAATGCTGAATTGTGATTTCTGACCTGTGCTGAGGTGGTCATTGAGGACACTTTTAATCTGATCCAGTTCATGCAGATCGGACGACTCCAGGAGCGGGAGGAGGTCGCTCACATTCGGCTGCTCCTTTGCCATGGTGCTGCTGGAAGGCAGATGCCTATGAGACTGTCCCCCCTCTCAAGATAAAGCCAGCCAGCAACCTGCTGTGCTGTCGTAATGGGGTGGCCACGGCAGGCACTGTGGACACCAAAGAAAATGTGGTCAAGCTAAAAATCCAATAATTCATACAGCTGTGCAGTTAGATACACATCAAGAATATTAATAGGAACATAACTTACATCATATGACCATTGACCACCATCTAGTTACTGTCAATAATTGTTATTATGCCAAGTCTGCCTTTTTATGTAATGTTTAGCTACAACAGAAAGAATGCCAATTGCCAAATTCGTGATCAGTGGTGCCTGCCTGGTGGAAGTGAGCGCGTGTGGTTAGTTAGCCAACTGTGAATCCTAGCTTGCTAGCTAACGTTAGTTACATTGGTTGGGGGGAGTTGAGTAGCCGCCACACTACTTGTGTCAACATATTTCTAAATTATTACCATTGCAACATACTAAAGAAATATTGCAATGAATCGAGAAGAATTAGCTAATGAAAGGCAGCTGACGTTACGGCACAAACTTGATTGAACGCTGCCCCAAAATGTTAGCTAACTATAGCTAGGCTAGCTAGTAGGCTAGCTAATGTTAACTGTTACCAGTAGCTAATACTGTACTGACAAACTCGATTAGTTCATCAAGGATTTTGCGGGGAATTATTTATTTTAATTCAAATCTGTACCAACAAAGTAGAGATTTTAGACTACAATATTTGTCACGGCGTAAAACAACACTGAGGTAAATGCATTGAATACGTTTTATTACCTTCTACACTTGTTGTTCTCCACAGGGCGCAGCCATATTGAGCAACCGAAAAGCCCCTCCCTCTCCTGAAATCCTACGCAGCACCCTGGAAAAATATTCCACAGCTGTCAACTTCAATTCCGAGTCCCACTGAATTCCGACCTTCAAATCCGGCACGAAAGTTATAATGCATACCATTCCTTTTTATTTTACAACAATGAACCTTTCATTTAATATAATTGCGCTACGTTTACTATGGTGTTGTTGCAGGGGGTCTACCTTGTTGGTTGAGAGGCAAATCGGATTTCTCGTGACTAACAAGTTTGTCTGCGCAAGCGTTCTATGCACGAGGGCAAACTGCTGTACACCTATCCATTCCACGCAGTAGGCCTACCAACAAAGATTCCAATTCTAATGCGGTACCACTACCAACAGTGACTGTAAATGGTGCTACGGTATATCACTGTTGAATTAGCATTGCTCAGAAGTCGCACTTACGTTTTGTTGCTTGCAATGGTGAATTTGTGGAAGTAAGTAAAAAACGAATGATTGGAGTTGCCTAGGCCTGCATACTAGCCTACAAGAGTGGTAACCTGCTGATGTAAACGTTGGCACATTTGGGGAGCTGACACAAGCTTTGTGGTCTCAGGCAAGGTTACTCACCTCGCAGTGTGGTCCATCGAACCAAAGCATTTTGATCTCGCCTTTTAACAAACCTAATGCAATGGTCAATCTTAGCGATGGCGCTATAGGTTTGGGGGTGTGTCGGAAATGTTTTAGCGATTTTTCACAACCAGAATTATGGGCGCAAAAGGGCTGGGTTACCGGAGAGCCAAGTCTAGGTCCAAAAGGCTCCTTAACAGATTCTATCCCCAAGCCATAAAACTGCTGAACAAATAATCAAATGGCCACCGGGACTATTTGCATTGACAACCACCCTCCATTGTTTTTGCACTGCTGCTACTCGCTGTTTATTATTACATTTTAGTCATTTAGCAGACGCTCTTATCCAGAGCGACTTACAGTTAGTGAGTGCATACATTTTCATACTGGCCCCCCGTGGGAAACAATCCCACAACCCTGGCGTTGCAAGCGTCATGCTCTACCAACTGAGCTACAGGGGACTATGTATAGTCACTTTACCCCTACCGACATGTACAAATTACCTCGACTAACCTATGCCCCCCGCACATTGACTCGGTATGGTACCGGTACCCCCTGTATATAGCCTTGTTATTGTTATTTTATTTTTTTCTTATTTTTTCACTTACCTTTTTAGTAAATATTTTCTTTAAACTGCATTGTTGGTTAAGGGCTTGTAAGTAAGCATTTCACGGTAAGGTCTACACCTGTTGTATTCGGTGCATGTGGAAAAAATAAAATGTATTTGATTTTGATGAATAAACAAGTTATAGGTGTGTCGAGGATTGATCCCTCACTGGTCAATCAGAACATGCTCTATGGCTAAATATGTGGTTGCTTCAAGTTATGTATTGCATTTTGATCAACTCCAATTAGAATGTTAGTCCGTTATAGCCTAGTTTGTTAAACAGAAACAAAATAACAAAATGTAGACCTATCCCATATTTGCTAAGAATGTTGAACATGTTTGCAGTCCACATTGTAATAAGTAATTGCATGGCTTCAATGTGGAAATATATTTTTAAACATATGATTCACAATGATATAGGCCTACTGTAAAATGCATTGTCTGAGCCATGGACATGCCAAACATTGTCAATAAACAAGATTAAAGACATCAATCGACAGTGAATAATTTGAATTAAACAAAGCAACTTGCTTTAAATAAGCTATGTCTAAACACAGTTACGGGCACTATAATTGCTCCCCGTGGGCATATAATATTAGGCCCAAGACAACGTACACTATGGAGGGTTTTACACACATCCAAACTTTTCACAGGAGTTGGAAAAAGTAAATAAAAATAAAGAGGGAATGTACTCACCGTACTGCTCCCAAATATATATACAGTGCCTTCAGAAAGTATTCACAACCCTTTACTTTTTCCACATTTTGTTGTGTTACAAAGTGGAATTCAAATGGATTAAATTGTTATTTTTTGTCAATGATCTATACAAAATACTCTGTCAAAGTGGAAGAAAAACTTGAACATACATTTTTTTTATATCTTGATTAGATAAGTATTCAAGCCCCTGAGTCAATACATGTTAGAATAACCTTTGGCAGTGATTACAGCTGTGAGTCTTTCTGGGTAAGTCTCGTAAGAGCTTTGCACACTTGGATTGTACAATATTTGCACATTAATCTTTTTTTAAAATCTTCAAGCTTTGTCAAGTTGGTTGTTGATCATTGTTAGACAGCCATTTTAAAATCTTGCCGCTTGTATCTTTGGCATGTGGGAACAGCAGACTGGGAAAGGGAGAGCTGGTCTGCGCATGCTCTGAGGACGCGGCTAGGGATGTCGTCTGGGCCGGCAGCCTTGCGGGGGTTAACATGCTTAAATGTCTTAATCACGTCGGCCACGGAGAAGGAGAGGCCACAGTCCTTGGTAGTGGGCCTCGTCAGTGGCACTGTGTTATCCTCAAAGCGGGCGAAGAAGGTGTTTAGCTTGTCTGGAAGCGAGACGTCAGTGTCGGCGACGTGGCTGGTTTTCCTTTTGTAGTCCGTGATTGTCTGTAAACCCTGCCACATACGTCTTGTGTCTGAGCCGTTGAATTCGACTCCACTTTGTCTCTATACTGATGTTTTGCCAGTTTAATTGCCTTGCAGAGTGAGTAGCTACACTGTTTGTATTCTGCCATATTCCCAGTCACCTTGCCATGGTTGAATGCGGTGGTTCGCACTTTCAGATTGGCGCGAATGCTGCCATCTATCCACGGTTTCTGGTTAGGGTAGGTTTTAATAGTCACCGTGGGCACAACATCACCTATACACTTCCTGATAAACTCAGTCACCGTTTCAGTGTATTCGTCTAAATTATTTTCGGAAGCTACCCTGAACATATCCCAGTCCGCGTGATCAAAACAATCTTGAAACGTGGATTCCGATTGGTCAGACCAGCGTTGAATAGTCCTTAGCACGGGTATTTCCTTTTGAGTTTCTGCCTATAGGAAGGGAGGAGCAAAATGGAGTCATGGTCAGATTTGCCGAAAGGAGGGCGGGGGAGGGCCTTATAACCATCCCGGAAGTTCGAATAGCAATGGTCGAGGACTTTGGCAGCGCGAGTACAACAGTCGATATGTTGATAGAACTTCGGCAGCCTAGTCCTCAAATTTGCTTTGTTAAAATCCCCGGCTACAATATATGCAGCCTCAGGATATGTGGTTTCCAGTTTGCATAAAGTCCAGTGAAGTTCTTTAAGGGCCGTCGTGGTATCGGCTTGAGGGGGGATATACACGGCCGAGACTATAACCGAAGAAAATTATCTTGGGAGATAATACGGTCGGCATTTGAAACATGTAGTAATCATGGTCGAATTACCGACCGGTGGGCCCCCATTTCATTTTGTTAGTCACTCTCACTCAGATATCATATTAAAAACTGCAAACATTTCTCTCCACCCTATGGCAAAATGTGTAGAATTGCAACAAACTTGCTTTAAAACGGCAATATTTTCTCTACGCCCAATGGCAAAATGTGTAGAATTGCAGGAAATTCAAACTTTTTTGAATTTCTGAGACATGTCACTTAGGGCAACCAAAAGCCTAGGGCCGGCTCTGACGGCATGTGAGGGTATGGATGTGGGTATGCAGACCTGTGAGCCACTGCGGCCCCTCATGATGAGTTCAGATTTTTTGTGGATCCCACCCCATCAAAGTTGCCCATCCCTGCCTGAGTGTCTCCCCCCCCCCCCCGAATTGAACCACTTCTGTCACAGGTCTTGGCAAGGTTATTCAGCAAGGAAGCATAACTCTAGATAGTGTATCTTCGATAATATTTTGGCATTAGCGGGTCCACTCCTTAGCAAGCTAAACTAACTACAAGAACGAGGAGACGGTAGCTCAAGTTGAACCAGCGAACCAGATTTTAATGCCCTCGAATGACCGGCTAACAGCAGGTTAGGATGGCTGCCCAAAACAATAAAAGCATCTGGCTAATCTTAACTTGGTGGAACTCAGGAGACGTTATTGTGGTCCATCCAGTCTCGGTCTGACTCGCTCTCGCTCTGACACCCCTCAACCCCCAATACTAGTACCCTATCAGCTATCTGAACTAGGAGCAACTCCTCCCCCCATACTTTCCCCATGAGCCCGCTACATGACAGAGCTAGAGGGTCGCTACAATATGTAAGTCTGTTTGTCCTCACCTTTCCACGTAAGATAAGATGTATTTTATTGTCCATTAACTTGCAGAGAACCGACATTTGTCTTTATGCAACCCAACCTTCCCCGAGACACACACACACACACCGAGCTGGATCAATTGTAGGGGGTTAAGTGCCTTGCTCAAGGGTACAACGGCAGGCAATGGTATCCAGCAGCCCTCCAGTTGCTGGCTCACTCCGCACCAGAATATTTCATCTGAGCTGAGATTCGAACCTTCTCCAAACACTAGGCTATCTGCTGCCCCGTGCCCCTGTCCCTGATCCATTGACGGAAACAAGCAACTTAAACACGCTGCATGGTCTATACAACGTCTGCATTGGCCGTGCAGGATTTACGCTGATATGGCCTCTGCAGAAGTCAGGGCATTCATACATCTTGCACTTCGCCGAGCAGCGCTGAGCTGTTGTGAAGGAAGTTGTCTAGGAAGTGAGTTTGTGTTTATACAGGATCTCCTGCCTACCGTCAACCAATCATGTCAGTGCGGAGCTATACGGAGCTCTCCGCATTGTTACAAAATTTGAGAGGTGCACAGCGATGCGGTACAGAGTTCAATTTGACCTCTGCGTGCCTCCAGAGGCTCCGCAATTGCGTCACACCATCCATATGGCGCCTCCGACCACAGAAAAAGCATAGCAATTGGTGGAGGATCGGGAAAGTGCTGGCACAACTCACTAGCTCACAACACACAAGTGACACAGAATGATCAGTACAGTGTTGAGAACAACAAGCAAGCAACTAAACTTGTTTTTTTCAAGTTTGACTCCATTTAACCAATGATGATGTAGTCCTAAAATACAGCA